ATTAGGATGACAAGGACTTCAGGGCTCACCCCTCCTGCCTGGTGTAAAGGAAACTGGGTGTGCATTTGTCCTGCCTGTTTCCATATAGATTGCAACTTGGGGATGGACTTTTTATGGAGGCATAACATACACCCCCACCCCATGCGTGACCCTGCAGCCCTACAGCCTATAACCCTATATCCAGTTCTCAGAAGAAACAACATTGCCAGCCCCAGGGGCCCCAGCTCAGTCCCTTTCCCCGACTCAAGCGTCGTCACCCTCCTGCTGCTTGGGGGACGCACGCGCAGGCCTGCCGGTCCCGCTGGCAGTGGAATCGCTGGGTCGCAGCATGGACGGTTCCTTCTTTTCTGATGTCCGTGTCAAGCCAGTTCCCAAGGCCGCCACCCTCTCGCCGCAGCCCACGGGGTCCTGGTTGCTCCCTTCTCCTTGTTGGGCTTTGTCTCTCTCTCTCCGGTGACTCGGGGTTCGTGACGAAGCCTGTGGTGATTCTGGCTCGCGTTCTCCTCACTGCCTCTTCGTCATCTTTTCATTTGCTTCTGGAGCATCCTTTGTAAGTCAAGTCCTTTGTCCGCTTGCCGTTGGGTTGTCTGCTCTTTTCTTAATGATTTGTAGAAGATCTTTACATATTCTGGACATCAATCCCCCTGCAGATACAAATCCCTTTGGCAAAACTTTCATTCTCTCGGTTTCCCTTTCTTTCATGGTGTCTTGTACAAAAGTTCTTCATTTGCATCTGGTTCCAATTTATTTTTTCTGTATGATTAGCATTTGGTGGGTTTTGTTTAAAAATTTGTGCCTACGCTATGGTCGTGAAAATATTCTCTATTTTCTTTGGGAAGATTTATTGTTTTACCATTTACATGTAGATCTGCACTCCATCTGAAATGGATTTTGGCGTTTTGTGAAATCCCGGGCTCAAGAACCAATTTTTGCACGTGGATAGCCGATTGACCCAGCACCATCCATCAAAAAGGCCATCTTCTCCTGGCTGTGTCATTTTTGGTCCCACATCAGGTGACTGCGTAAGTGCGGGTCTGTGTCCGGACTTTCCATGCTGATACCTTGCTTCACCCCTGCAGCCACATGCTGTGTGGGTGATCATGGTCTTACAATCGTGACTCACATTGAATTTTAAAATTATCTTCTTAAAAACAAATTCACAGGAAAGAAGCGATGGTTCCAGTGACACGGATGATATTTGGGGAGCTCTGAGCATACATGGTCAAATGCCCTGAAAACAGGATACTTCCCCTGTTGTTCGGGTGATCATTATTTTACTTGTTTGTCCTTCATTTTAGCAGCTTTAGTTCTAGCACGAGAGGAGACGCACACCCATCACACCCACCGCCGGGGATGCCACACCACTGGCGCCATGACGCACCAGGCTCTGTCTCAGCAATTGTTTCAACAGATTTGCTTGTCTGGCCTTCCTTCCCCTCCCAGCCCTGGAGGGTCACGGGACTCAACGCCACCGGGGTAGGAGGTGACGCAGACGCACTCTCGGGCTCCGCCTCTCTCCATGGCCCTCTCTTTCCCGGGACCGTTGTCACCTGTCACTCTCCCATTCCCGGCGGGTGGAAGTGGTGCCCCAGAGGTGCCCGTTCCTGCTAATGTTCTGCCTTTGCTCCTTGTGCCCCATGAGGAGCGGCATCCAGCAGGGTGGCGGAGCCTGCGTGTTTTAACCCCTCTCTGCTCCCCCCCAGCAGGATGGGCTGATCATGACGATGTCCTCTGCTCGGACACTCGTCCCCCAGGGCCCAGGGGGCCGTGGGAACTACTTTAGCACAGAGTCAGAAAATGGACGGGTGATTACACGGCCGGTCCTCGCGTGCAGGTGAAGAGAAAGACGTGGGCAGCCGGTTTGCAGGGGAGCTGGAGACCGTGTCGGGAGATAGCTGCTCATGAGCGTGGGAGCAGCGAGCGCTTCTGGGAAGAGTGGGCTCGAGGCCAGCGCTGGTGCACCCTGGTGGAAATACCGGAGGGACGGCCAGCAAGCCCGTCTGGAGCTTGAGGATGCGCTTCCCACCCTAGAAATTGTCTCCAGAGGAGCATGTGGACCAGACTCTTCATCCCTCCACGCACCCCCTGCCTCTCACCCACGTGCACCCAGACGGCTCTGCTGCCGCTCCCCCCACACTGACATTTGAGATCTTTGCCAATATTTCAAAAGGAATTTTGGCAAAAGAAGGCTCCAGCCCCCTCGCGCCCCTGACATCTGCGCCCTGTTCTGAGCTCGGCGGTGTGGGGGCCGTGGGCGGCGTGGGCAGAGGAGGCCTCCCGGGGCCGCCTCGCCAGCTGCCTCGTCGCGGGGTGGCCGTGTATTTGTCTGTTTTCTCCAGCAAAATTAGTTTCCTTTACAGACGCAGACTATGATGTGTAGCTAAAAATATGAAGAGGACGTTTTCGCGATCTGGGAAGAAGAGTATCTGGAAATAAACGCCTGCTGGCGGAGCCAACGTCGGGCTGCCCACCTCACTTCCAGTGCGGCCAGCAGCAGCCAGGCGCTCCTCAACCCCGACCTTGGCAGCACGCCCAGGGCAGGGCCCAGCACAGGGGACAGGGTGCCCCGTGCCAGGACGGCTGGGCAGCCGCCTCCCCAAGGCCTCCCCCTCACCCCTGGGGAAGAGCCGGGACGGAACGGAGGTGGCTGGGAAGGAGGGACAGTCCGGGGTGCCATGGCCCTGCCTGCAGCCCTGCCACTCTAGTCTGGTGACAGAGGGTGGATCCATCCATTCCCGACGGTGGCAGAAGCACCAAAGTCTCCCCTGCGGTCATTTCTCCCCTGACACAGTAGCCGCCGTGGCCGCCCGGGCGATGACAAGGACCCCACACAGGCAGGAGCAGAGGCCGGGATGGGACAAGGTGGCTCGGGACGCTGGACAGGTTCCGCCCGAAGGTGGAATTCGAGCTCTGATCTCACCGGCCTGTCACAGGGGCCAAAGCCCACCCCGGGATGTGCCTCCTGCCCCCACAGAGATGACTTTGGGGCACAAAGGATGTGGCTTCTGGAGAATTCACCATGTTTCTGCCCTGTCGCCTTCTCGTCTGTTCATTCCTCACACGCCCCCTGGGTGGCAGAGGCTTTTACAGATGAGGAAACTGGGGCTCATGCCGTCCAGGGCGGAGGCTGAGGCTGCTGCTAGGTCTGTCACGCTGAGGTGGCTCCCGGACAGCATGGAGGCTCCCTGCCCGGCCCTTCAACCCTCTGGCCCTTCATGACTTCCCGTTTTTGACAGAATTTTAAAAAATAGTCTAAAGGGGGGGTCTTCAGGTCAAGGTATGGGCCCCAGGTGAGCCACACCTCCCCCTGCAGCCGTCTGAGCTGGCCGGGTTCTCTCTGGAGAACAGCTGGATGGGAGTGGCGCAGCCCCTGCGCGTTTCCATGTGTCCAGGGAGCCCGTCCAACTGGAGACGCTCACCAGGCTCACTACGAAAGCGCCCCTTCCGTGGCAGCTGTGGCTCCCCAGCTTCATCACCCTGTCTCCCCAGGATTGAGCGGCGGGGGGTTAACTTCCCAGCTGCGTTGAGTTCCCTCCATTTTGTCTGATTCCAGGCAAAGAACCCAGAGAGTTCTGCGTCCCCGCTGCGGCCGGGCAGCTGTGACCTGGGTCCTCTGGGTTCAAGCAACATCCTTTTTTTTAAATATGTTTTTTACATCATTTTTCATTTTCGTACAATGTACGCATTTTCACGTAACATTTTCATAACAACATCTTGGTGTTTTGAGGCTGTGGAGCCTGCCGGTCCTTGGCTGTCTGCCCGAGGCAGGCACCGGGAAAGAGCGCTGTGAAGGCCTCGCCCGTGCGCTCCGCTGGCCTCGGGCACAGTGAGGGGCTCCCTCCCCAGGGGCGTAGGCTGGACCTGCTGGAGTTGAGGACCCAAGGGTGCGCAGAGCAGGCTGCCCAGTTAACACCGGCCGCCTGAGCAGCTTGCAGCGGAGGCAGCGGAGCCTGGTAGAAAGTGGATATAAAACCAGACTTTAAGTAACTAGCCTGTGGCCGCACAAATCAATTCTGGAGCTGAGAATAGAAACCGGCATCTGACCTCTGGCCCTCGAGTATCCATCAACCCTGTCGCCCTGGGACGAAAATACACCCCTTTCTTCAAAAACAAATGCCCCAGCACAACCCAATGAAACTGAGAGTCACAACTGGAGTTGTCATAGTGACCAGATTTAGAATTCAAAATATAAACTTTGCTTTTGTGTGGATTGAGGGCAGAACACTGGGGCGACAGTGGCCACCCCAGTATCCAAATAAATAAAGCTTAATTCTTCTATGGCTTGAATTCTCCTGTTAGTATAAGAGCTTCAGTGATGTGCGTTTTAGAACTTCCAGACGCGTAAATATCATTTTCTCTCACAGATTTTTTCCCCCTGTCTTTCTTTTAACAAAATGAGATTCTATTTTAATCCTATGGTTATCTTTATAATATTCAAGTTTCTTTAGAAACTTAATGGTTCACTCTACAATTAGCACGCTTTATGAGATTTCAAATAATATCTAACCAGTCTGTAATTCTATTTATCACTATAAAGAATAGGCACATTTCTCCTTTTAGTGATCCGGGGTTCTAGGAGATGATTGCTTTCAAAGGGTAAACTGTTCTTCCAAGTAGCACCTGATTAAAGTGCTTTGCCTGGTAAAGTTTATAATTACCTGCAACAGCACCAGCTGCTCCTCAGGATCCACCTCCTTTTCTGTAGTAATAAGAACCCCCATTTTTTTTCTAGCCTGTTACCAAACCTTATGACTGCTTGCCGTGTCCATCAGAGTTTGATGGGGCATGTCTTTGGCCAAGGAAGTGGAACTTGGAGTGTTTGGTCCAATTCCCAGAAAGTGTCTCTAAAGAGAGTTGCTTCACCACCTTCCTCCCTCAATGACCGCTGTGATGGCTGGTGCTCTGGCAGTCAGCTGGCATTCTGAGGTCATAGGATACATTCTGGGGATAGCAGAGGTGTCAGCTAGACAAATCCTGTGTCAGAAAGACAGAGGAGCTGACCCAAGTGTGCCCTCACTGCCTGCCTCTGAGGGAGTCAAATACCATTTCTATTTTGCGTAGACCGCTTGAGCTTTCTGCCCTTGCATGAGAACTGGATGCTCCTTGAAGCAACAGGTAAAACCGGATGCTCGTAATTAGATTATTCTACTAAAATCTAGCAACTTGGGGTTAAAGGGAAGGAAATTATCCTTCTGATCTTGTCCCTGCCTTATCCCCTTCTCTACACATCCACAAACAGTTCCCAGACCAGAGTCCCAGAAGCCTTGCCGGGGAACAGGGAGAGGAGTTCACAGCCTTCTGTGCGGGCTGTGAGGACAAAGACATTTTCCAAATCCACTAGCAAGGCAGCCACTGCATTAAGCTGTGCAGCAGCCTGGCCCTTCCCTGCTCCTGGGTTCATGCGTCTGTGCCCATTGCTGACCTTGGTTTAGAACAGGAGCAGATTGGGCCACTTCCCACAGGAGGGCGACACCTGCAGGCCTGGACCGCACCAGGGAGGCCCAGATGCTGCTTCACTGGACCTGTTGACCAGCCAGGGCCCCTGGCCCGCAGGAGCAGACATGTCTGAGAGATGCAGGAGGTGACTAGGTCACATCACAACCTGAATAAACTTGTCAGGGAGACTGTATCTTGCAAAAGGGCTTGATCTCCCAGAACTAGTGCGAGAAACTGAGGTGCTAATTATGGCCTAGGAGGAGGTGGTTGTGGCAGTGTGCAGTGGACGGTGGTTAGGAGCTTTCCAGGCATGGTGCTCGGAGCCCAGACCTCAGCGGTCAGCAGCAGCATACACAGAGACCCTCCTCCACCAGCAGGACACTCAGATCTGCAGGAAAGCTCGGAGTGATTTCCACTGTCGATTTACCCTCAGGATGAAAAAGTTAAAAGACAGGCAGCCTTTGAGATGTCTTGGGGTGCAATAAAAAAGAGCAGCAAATGGGCAAATATTTGCTTTTCTTTTGAAAAGCAAAAGCTTATTTCAAGACAGTCTTGTAGGACAAAAAAATATTTTTATCAATACTATTTAAATCTGTGACCTATGCATGAACCTAAATAGGCATTTATACAGAATGCTCTGGATATTAACCACTTACGTGGCAAAATATGCATTTACATATGAAAGTATGTTACAAATACAAACATTAGCCTTATTTGTTTATGTTAATCTTATTTATATAAAATATAAACTTAAAATCTCAGCCTCAAACAACCTTTATTTAAATAGTAAGGGCTTGCTCTTCCAATTCAATGATCAAGTTCCCTGATTTTTAAATCTGAAGGATTGTTTCTAGATATTCAAATTCATCATAATTGAGGTTTACCAGATTTACGGGGAGAGATTAATAACTTTTCCTTGAAATTCCCAAAGGATGACTTAATTCAATCTTTTTTCTCTTCCGCCTTGTTTTACATGGCTTAGCAAGGGGAATGCAGTTTCTCCTCAAAAGCGTTGCCTCCCCAAATAAGGAGGCCAATTACTTTTGTCCTAGGTCCATCATCTTCCCACTCTGGAAATGTTGCCAAATCATACATTCTCCCAATGTCATAATTTCAGTGCACTGCAAATGGCTAATGGTGTTTGCGGCCTCCGGGGAATCCAGTTGCTCTTGCTTTCAAATGTGTTTGGATGTTTTTGCTGACTTATAAATATTCAGAAGGAAAAGAATTTGGGTCTGTAGAAAACAGGCTTCTAAGATGGAAAAGTTCTCACCAGGAGGGAAGTCTAGAGAAGGGAACAAAGTACAAATCCCAGGCCCCGGAGGAAGGGCTTCCAAGAGGCCTAAAGACAAATGACTGAAAGAATTAGAGGGATGGGGATGAGCCTTAGAATATGCTTGGCTTTGGGAGCAGTAGGAGTGATGACAATGCCTGTGGCATCCTGGGATGGAGGACAGACGATAGCTAAGTGCACAGGAAAAATATTTTGGTCAAGGTTATATGTGATAGGCTTATACCTAATCTGCATGATTATTCATGCATGCTTTGATTGTTATTAAAGCTTCTCTTTCTTTTGTTTTGTGCTCTTATTGGATTCTGGTGCTTTTAATAAGGGCAGCTACTTCAATGACTACGTGCTTTGTTTCCTTGATACGGGAGATTATGAGCCCCTTAACAGGTGGGCTAAAGAAATCAATGGGTAGGTTATTCATTCCATAATTCAACAGAATAAATTGAGCCATGCATATTTGATACATGTATATCTGTCTTCTGAGTGATTTCCATGAACGGTCAATCTATCTTTGCATCACTTTGAGTTACTAATGCAATATTTTGCTGCTTTCTAACAATTTGGAAATGCATCACATTTTATAAGGAAAAAGCACAGGTTCATATCTAAACTTCTCTCCCCTGACCAACGCCTACCTATAGGGTTAGGCAGCTCAGGTGATGGTTCTCCAAATTGCAGACTGTATTTGCAGTGTTCAAAGCTCACAGGCTGAGTCCAGATCCAGGCATTGTGACCTGCTAGTTGTGTGAATTTGGGAAACTTACTGAATCTCTCTGGGACTTGATTTCTTCAAATCCCAAAGAGGGATAATTGCAGGCATATATTCTAAAGATGAGATATTGCAACACTAGAGGGTGATAAGTTTCTACCTTGTGGATGTGTTTGGGCCCAAACCCAAGGACTGGGAGTACCAGAAAGGTGGAAGAAGAAGAAAACTTCCTTGCCTCAGGGGAGTTTATGACCTACTATGGCAACAAGGAAAGGCACACAAGCAACCAAGAAAGGTGGCTCTGGGTGTACAGTGATGGCTGTAAAGCTGTAAGGACGCCCTGACAGTCGTCATTAGTGATGACTGCAAAAGAGGATTTCAGCTGGGTTTTATTTTATTTTTTAAAAATTATTTATTTATTTATTTGTACAAGCACTGCATACAGTCAGAAGCGCGGGAGGGTGAGAGAATTCACCAGAACCAGAGCGGGGAGAAGAATAGGCAGAAGGACCAAAGTACACTGCTGAGGGGAGCAGTGGGTGGCAGGAGAGGTCTGTCGCTCCACGTGGGACCCTCGCTGGTGGCCGGGGATCGAACTGGTATTGCAGAGACTGCAGGCAGCTTTGCAGCCCAGCGCTCAACTGCTGCGCCACTGGGGAAGCCCTCAGCTGGGTTCTAAAGGAAGGGTCAGATTTAAATCCATGGTGTGAATTACACATGTTCACAATCCCATAGCCACCATTCTTAGGTTCAAAATGTTCTCCAAAAATCCACTTTATTCACAACTCATGTTGCTGCCAAAAATGACCCAATGAACTTTATTTAGAGAAAACTTGAACCGATGTGAGGCTATCTATAATCTTTAGTATCCCATGTTGTGACTATTTCCAGATTTCTCTGCAGAAATATTGATGTGTTTGCTGTGGCAAGCTGCTCTGGTCTCCAGAGTGTCCCCTTGCTATGGAATGAGAGACCCCAGAACTTAAGGCTCACACTGCCAGCCGCTGCTTATGCTCTCTCATGAGTCTATGGGTGGGTGGGCTCAGCTCTGCCTGGTGTCAGCTCTGCCTGGTGTCAGCTCTGCCTGGTGTCAGCTGTGGGCTGTGGTCATTTAAAGACTCACCTGGGTGGGAACTTCTGAGACGACTCTCACGTGGCTGGCTCTCCCAGGGGCTGACTGGTCTCAACAACCTTCTCCTTGGGGCTTCTTGAAGCTTCGTTAGTATGACTGTCATCCTTGACTCTGGGGGGGCCTGTGACTTCGCTACAAGGGGCCAAGAATTTGGCCACCCACCACAGGAGGCTAGGTCCTCAGTGGCATAGGACCCCTGTGGCCTCTGGAAGGCGGGGTGCATCTCCAGCCCCTGGAGCTTTGGGTAAGAGGCAGAGGAGCCATGAGTCACCTCACCATGTGATTTTAGTGCAATCTGGTACATGGTCAAGTTGAAATAAACCATGCCTGGCACCTTTAGATGTTTTCCTAATAGCATGTTGAACACTGTGTTCAAATTAATATCCAAAATGTCTTATCATAATTTAATTAATCGCAGTGATATCATTTCAAATGTCCTGTAAACATTGGATATCTAAAATCTTAATATTTTCTCTTAAATAGGCCCAGTGGAATCTGAGTTCCAAAGTGATTTAATGTCTGCCAGCCACTGTTTTTAAACTGCTTGAACAAACTCTGCTGTAACGAGAAGTTTTACATCATTTCTTTTGCCCATTAAATTTACATTTCCATTATACATCTCTACAATAAAAATATGGGTGTGTATTTAAACTTAATTTTCTAAAATATCATGTAATATTTTAAATATCCTGCTCTACATTTTGAATAATTACCTCTGGATTTAGTTATCATTATAGTAATTACCACTGCATAATAGAACAGAAATGAAAATGTCTTACAAATTTTGATAATTATAAAAAAGAACATAACATTTTATGGAAAATTGCATCTTTACTGAGATGGATGCTTTTTTCTTTGCTTTCTTTTCCTTTTTATTCTTTACTCTTTTTTCCTTTTGTTCCTACGTCTCTGGGTGAATACTACTTAACACGAACATAAAAAAGAATTCAGTATCAATTTATTCCTATTTTTCAGTTTTATAAGTTCAAGTGCTTTGAAAATTCATCCACATAAATAGATGGAAATGGAAGAAAATTGTTCGAACAATGTCATTCAGTTCCTGAACCCCTCTAAGCGACACTAAAGAAGTCACACTATTATCTATCATCAAAAATTACTTTTAATGCTTTATCAGCTGGCAACATTCAACTAAATTCTCTTTGGATTCAGTTGGGAAAAACAAGCTGGAAACCAGTCTGACTTATTATAAAACCATTCGCATGGACTTAATTCCCAACTGCTGTTGTCTCTCTGCAGAGGAAGCCTGAGGAGGAACAGGGGCTGGCCTGTGCTTTCTCCATGAAGGGCTCAGGGATAGACAGGCCCCCTGGGTGAATGGAATCCTTGGGGAGGTTGAGGGTGGTCTCTGGGCCTGGGAGTCTTGCTCCATGTCTGGAAAATAAGCTTCTTGTTTGCACTTTAGTAGATCAAATCTTGCTGGGAGTAAGTCCCCCTGGCTGGCCAACACTCCAGCACTTTGATGAAATGAATAACGAGGTCACATTGGAGGGATGCAGAATCAGTGAGTAGAGTTTATTTCCCTTTGGAAAACCCTTAATAAGCCTACATTTTAAAGTTGTAGGTAATTGGATTAAATGTTACACCATTAGAAGAATAGAAAATGAGATTTTGTGCAAGGTGTCAAATAGGAGAGTGAAAAATATTTATGAATGAATGAATGAAGTAATTGGAAATTAGCTGAACTGTATCTTTGGGGCAGTTCCCAAGGTCATCAGACCTGGTGTTTCTGTGGTGTCTGAGAGGAAGCCTCACTTTGCCTGAGACCACATTTGTCCTCACGACTGAATCATGAGCGATACTGAAGCTCTCCAAGTGGGCCCCACAGTTAGATGAATTTTCATCAGTAAGGGCGACACAACAGAGCTTTGAGAACCAGAAGACAAGTCACCTGGAAAAGGGGAGTCAAGATCGTTAATCATTCAAAGCTGGATGTAGAGGTTACATTCTGAATTTGAAAGCGAACAGGCATAATGTTTACGTAAATCGAAGGCGGCGTCTTGAATATTGATCATGGGGAAACCTTATAACTCCAGAAGGTGAGCGTGGCGGAGAACGCCAACCAAGCACGCAAAATGGGGCTCCTTTTCCATGAGATGGGCATTTTGGAAGGTGACTGCCCAGCTTAGCACAAAGTCTTCCAGGTCAACTCCGCTTCCAGGTCTGGCCAGTCTGCCTCAGTGAGACAGGTGTAGAAACGACATGTTGCTCAGTAGCTGGGGCAGTTACAAGGTCAATGACCCTCTTCCACTGTCCCTTTATCTTCTGCTACTTGGAAACAGCATAGGGTTGAGTCACAGATGGGAGGTGTTAGAGTCTTTGAAGCAAAAGTTAGAGGAAAACTATTAACCAGGAACATCTCTCTGGACTGTAGATGAACAAGAAAAAAATCCATTATATTAAACAACTGAAATGTTAGGTGTATTTGTTATAGCTGTTAGCATTGCCCTAATCCAACAGAGGGACAGATTAAAACTATATATAGAGACATCAAAAATCTCAAAGGTACACAAAAGTACTTACGTACTTAATATACATTAATATACTACGAACTTAGGTACTTATTGCATGTAAGTACATAATACTTGTTATGTACATAATACACAATAGAATTATTATTTTAAGTGCCAATATTATATACTTTAAATATAAGCCTAGTTAATGTGCATTAAATCTAAAATATTAAAATATAACATTTTATACTTAGGGGAGTATAAAGTGCTTACCTTGAAGGAAAGCGAAGGTGTGCTGAAATTTTTCCTGTCGACTTTCAGGGATTCAGAACTCCCTGTTTTACTATCAAGATTCCTCCCATACATGCTAATTTTCCAGACATCTGCAATGAAAATGCTTGAAATTTGCACAAGATTTTATACTGAGGGCAGTTCTTTGGGAAATGTCACTCCAGTATGTATCAAACAAACACACAGCCTCAGGCCACACTCCTGGGAAGATTAAGAGGTGGCAGCAAAGAGAGTGAAAGCAGGAGCCAGCAGCTGTCCTGGCCAACGCGTGCTCCCTGCCCGGGTCACTGTGTCCCCATCCACGGTTAGCAGAGGCAGAGCTGGCTGGCCGGAGGCCACCACCCGTCTGCATGTCCATCTTCATTCAGACTTTCCTTCCCAAAGGCCAAGGCCAACAAGCACACAGACAGGCTTTCTCAGACCTGCCTTTAGAGCCCACAGTCATGGGAACAACAGCTTTCTCTGCAATTTATACAGATGTCTATGAATGTATGATTTGATGCCAATTTTCTAAAAAAAAAAGGAACCTGTTGAAGTTTTCATATTTTTACTTGTAGTAAAAAGGACTAGAAGCAAGAACACCATTGTGTGAGGTCCCTTCTGTAACGAACTTAAACAAAGCTGGAGAGAAATCAAACAACATTTGAGTCTGTTGTGGATAGACAGCACCTTCTAAACTTATAGACATCCAGGTAAAATACTTCTGGATTTTGTTTCATCTTTGAAGAAGTCAGTTTTGATAACTCCTTGAGAAAATCACGTATGCTGCACATTTCAGTAACCTGGAGAGCAGGCAAATTTCAGTTAAGAGGAGGCTCCAATTCCAAAGCATTAAGAATTCTTATAACAAGATGATTATAGTCTACCAAGAACAGGGCAGGCAGCATCCCCGGTCTGGAAACCAGATGTTTTGTTTACATGAGTTCAACCTTTCATCTTTCCTGATTTTTAAACTCTAATTGACAATGCCCTTTGGCCATCGACCTGGTGCCTGGTAGGCCTCCCTTGCTTTGCCTTATGTGAGTAATCAACTAAATCGAGACAGATCATTCCAGAATCTATCCATCAGTTTCACTCTATTTTGCTATGGAAACAATCCCCAAATGTCTGGCTTGTTTCCCACTCACATTTGGTGTCCTCTCTGGGTCGGCTTCACGGGTCTTCATCCTACAACCAAAACAGACATCATCAAAGTTCTCTTTGAAGAAAAGTGACACTTATCTGTCAAGCCCAAGAGGGGGAGGGACATGCCAGTCACATCTGTCCCTCTGTGCACAGTGCCCAAGTCTGCCCACCTGGCAGGAGACTGTGTGTTTCTTTACTCCTTTACAAGAGTCATTGATATTTATAATAGTTGGGACTTTAATCATTGTTCTGCGCAATGTTAGTGAAATGCAGGCGGGTTCTGTTAGCAAGTGCTAGAAGCTATTTGTTTCAAGCTTCTAGGTTGATTTGGGAGTGTCCCCAGTCACTGCTGCACACGTCTGCTGGAGATGGTCTTCTTTGCTAAGGTGATGACTGACGGAGTAGCCCAAGACTGCCATAGCACGCGCTGCACAATTATCTAATTACGTAACCTTAAATTTCCAAGGGGAAAATTCACGATCATTTCCAAGCAATGATTAATGACTGCTTTTGTTTCAACACGTTTCAGCGACTAAGGCAGAAACGTAACTTCCTGGTGTGCCTCCCTCTCCACTTTGGAGAGATTGAGACACAGCCAAGGGCGCATCCACATAGCAGGCTGTCAAGCTGGGCAGGGTTTGCAGAGCAGGGCATAAAAGACAGAAGGCTTCCCCTGAGCTCAGGAAAATCCAAAATCCAGAGTCAGACCATCATAAAAAGAGACTGACTTTACCTATCCTGGGAAGTATAGGGCTGGATGGGATGAACTTACTCTATTTCGCCTTCTTTCTCCAACTTACATCTACTCTCTTGTCTTACCCCAGCAGCTGCCACAAGAAAGCCCACACATCAGACACAATCTCCGTTTGAGCCCCAAATAGAAGAGAAACAATGAGGTCAGTTCCAGGGTGGGTAGCACTGACTCCAGGGGACCTTCAGGGGCAGAGACAGTGATGAGGGGGGTCCCGGAAGCAGCTGATGGCTGTCTCTCCCCTATTCCTGAAGCTGGTATGGGGAACTAGGTGGATGGGGAGCAGGCGTGAAATTTTAGAAGGACGACGCATCAACTTGAGACTGATGTTATCCATGACCTGAAATGAGACCAGAGTTCCGTCTTCCTAATTAGACTCGTGGAGCAGGCCTGGGGCTCAGGGGCTGCGGGAGGCCCTGGCATCTGCTCTCCAGGCCTCTCCATATCCTTTCTGGCTCCTTGGGCATCTTTCCATCCACAGCTCTCCTCTTTCCCCACACCACCTGCCCAATCCCCCATGTTCCACAAAGACCCTGGTGCCTCCAGACAATGCAGAAATCTCAGGTTCCCTGGAGGAGCAAATCCTCTTAGAGCCAATCATGTGCCCTTCGACAATCAGAGCCAGAGCAGCTGGAGAATCTCAGAGGGGCTGGCGGCTGCGCGGGAGAATCAGCTGAGTCCAAGCCAGGTCTGCTGCGCAGCCGCCCTGCAGATGCGGCTGCTTCCGTTCCCCACTTCCCAGCCTGTTTCCACCCTCCCGGCTTTGTGAGTCTTTCTACCATCTTGAGCCAAAAGCAGTAAAATGCTGACGCAACCTTAGAGTTAAATAATGTTCAACCCTTGCAAAGTTTGCATTTTAAAGAGGACCACAGGGAGAGCAAGGAGCCCGTTCAGCGGGTGTGATTTAAGACTCACACTCGGGAAGAGACTAGCTGCTCTGCAGAGGGGACTTTTCCAGGGGACTTTTCACATCAAGACTGATTTATTAGAGCCCACTATTATCCAGCCATCCTTTCATGCAAAACCAAATACTATTGAACACCAAATAGGAGCTTGGCACCGTTTTCAGAATGAAACAGATGCAGATCTCTATCCTTAGGGATCTTGCCTTCCAGTTCAAGTATTATTTTATTAATGAAAGTTATCGTTTATGTAAAGGTGATGGATGTCAGGGGCTGGGAGGTAGAGCTCGGTAAGGGGAACCAGGGGCATGGGGAGAGGGTGTGAAATTTTAAATGGAACCATCAGGTTGGTGTCACTGAGAGGGTGACATGTGGCAGAGGACTTGAAGGAAGTGAGAGCGTGTCATGAAAAATCTGACGCCATTTTTGATATTTGATCACTGACAGCTTTCAGGCCCAGCCCTGCCATTCTGTCCCCTCTGCCCCGCATGTGGACGAGCCATGGCGTGGGGAAGTTCACGGGCACAAGCTCTGCACCTGCTCGACTGGCCAGTGTGACCGGGCAGTCACCAGAACCCCAGTTCCGACATGGGTGCCTCAACGCTCCACTGGCGACAGATTGAAATTCTTAATCATTTTTGCAAGGGGCCTGTGTTTTTTTTGTGTGCTGGGTCCTACAAATTATACAGACAGCCCTTCTCCAAGGTGTAAAGCAGAACTCGGAGGAGTTCCAATGTCAAAGTCCATCCCCTCCTCCCAGGTTCTTAGCAAGAGCATCCCTTTTTTGCCTTTTGAGATGTGGGTGATGATGACCTTGACGATGCACCACCCTGTGCAACAGCAACTGCAAGAAATCTTAAGGAGTTCTCAGCTGGGCTTTACCTGGTTTCTTTGCGTGGCAACAACTTGCATCCCAAGCATCTATTTTCAAGATGCGAGGACAGGGTGTCTTTTCCGTAACAGCTTGTGTTGCGTTTACAGTTTACATATTTAGTTGAGTGGGCCGGTTTCCTTTTGGGCCCATCCACACACAGGATGGAGCCACTATACCCTTTACAGCAAAATTTTAAAACATGCTCTGGACGATCTTCACCTTCCACCTCCGCTCTCACCTGCTCCCGTGAGCGCCCGCTGACCTTCACGAGTTAGCTCCAGTGGGCGAGTCTCCAGCTAATGGGCCTCCACAGCTGGCTTCTGGCTCTTCTGCATCTGCTACTTTCTCCCAACTCTCCTGGTTGTCCTCCATGTCACTGGACACTTCTGAGTCCATTGCTGGGTCCTCTCCATGCCACCCATGCCTTCTTTTGATCCCCAGGGGTTCACTCTTTGAACTGTGTTGGTTCCCACCCAAGTTCTCACTGTCTAATCCTCTCTGAACTGAAGGCACCACAGCCCCTCTTTTTAAATTCCAGACCTTACACCCCACTTCCTGCTTACAGAGTAGTTTGTATCATCACTTTACACTCAAGAGCATGTCCTGTCCTGAAGCAAGATGAGAAGCAGGATAAATATTGTAAGGAAAATGGAGATGATGTTAAGTGATAATAACTCGACCCACTTGCTAATCATTGCCCAAGAGCTGCTGCCTGTTTCTGCTTTTGTTGCTAGATTACATTTTATTTTATTCTGCTACTTTGAAAACTCCAGGAATAATTTGGGATGCTGCTGCTTCTACTCCAATATGAAATATGCGTTCTTAAATTGGGTTTTCTGTTTTTACATTATTTCCAGTCATCAGTGGTAGCTTTTAATGTTTTGAATTAAAATTTATTTTGCAATGCCCTACAAATCAAATTAATTTATAAGATGTTGTAAAAGTTGTCTCTCTCCCCCGCTCCCTTTCAAACTATTTTTCTAAATTGAGGGCAGAATGAAACTTTCTTTTTATGCCTATGAAGCTTATTTCAATACTCCAACTTGACCCTCTGAGTTGGTGGTTTGATTCGTGGGGAAGTCTTATTCTAAATATAGCTCAGGAAAAATCCTCCAATGTGGGCTCATGGGAAAGCCCTGGGAGGCCATGCCGCTGCCGGCCCCTCTGCCTGCGGGGGAAACCAGCTGAAAGCACATCTGTGGAAGTAAAATATTAGCCAATATTTGTACTTTCATCTGGGTTAACCTAATCTGTACAGGAAACGCAACACGAGGGGTGATGAAACTGCTAACTAGCAGATCAACCCAGAAAGGGGTGACTCAGAGCAAAGGAAGAGAAAAGGACAACAAAAAAACCCCAAGAAATACACATTTCCAGATGTGTGCAACAGGGACGTGGAAGTCAAGATCTTAGAACCACTGAAGACCAATGAAAAAGACAATATAACAATAGCTTGTGTTGTCCTTTGCACGGGACATAAAGATGGCCGTGTGCACTGTGGAAAACTCAGCAATAGAAAAATTTCATAACAGAGAAAGAGCTAATCACTCATCTGTATACACACTTGCTGCTGTTTTTAGATGTAAACTTGCATAAACACACAAAAAATAGTACCATGTACTTTACATGTTGGTTCACTACCTGCGTTTTTCACCTAAGTCATAACATAATTATCTCTAAACAATTTTCCCAAGACCATCATAAACAATTTTCCATGTGTTGAAATAAACTTTGGGAAGAAAGTATTATCCTTCATAACATTCAGACAAATTTACATGCTTATTATTCAGACAAGCAAGAGGGAAAATTAATAATCTTTGAGAATTTCATAAATGAAAATGGTATCTCATTGCTTTTTAAAACTTTTTAGCAGAATTAATTTTTATGTTTGGTACTTATGTCACTGCCCCTTTCAGGAGTCCTTCATTCATCTTCTATTTCAGATTGCATGTGTCTTAGACTCTATAGCTCGGCATCTCCCAGATGGGAGGTGGGTCTTAGGGGCCCATTCAGTTACGTGAGCTCAGTCAGCTCCAGGAATCGGCTTATTAGGAAGCATCCATTCCGCTGCTTTGGGCAGATGCCAGAGGAGTTCCTCACACGTGCCAACCTGCCCAGTTAGTGAGCTACCACTGCCATCTGCACCCTGACATTCTGTGTCCATCTTTCTGGCTCCCACTTGCCAGTGTCTACCATTAGGGTGCCATATTGGAAAGCACCAGTGCTGTCCCTGATGGTCAACAGTAATCTCAGGGAGGGCCTCCCTGGTGGCACAAGGGGGTAAGTCTCAGCACTGGGAAGCTGTCCACAGCCATTGCAGCACGAGTTCGATCCCCAGCCAGGGAGATGACCCACAGGGTGCAGCAGACCTCTCCTGTCTCCCCGCTGCTCCCCTCAGCAGTGTATTTCAGTAGATCCACCTGTTCTGCTCCCCACTCTGTTTCTGGTGAATCTTCTCACATCCCCCACTCCTACCCACTCCCTCCCCTAGTTCCCTGCATCTCTGGTATACACCCAGTTCTTGTATGCATAAATAAAAAAAAAAAGGAATAATCTCAGGGAGTGAAAAGAGAAACTGTGTTCTCTCAGGTGGGAAAATAGTGCAAATCCTGTCAACTCTGGGTGCCCATCCTGAGGGTGGGAAAAATTCCCAGGCTTCCCGAGATGGGGTGAGTGGCCAGGGAAGGGGGAGTCAGCTGCTGTGTGTTCTTAGAAGCATCTGGAATCCAGCTTAAATAGTCAAATGCACCCTGTCACACAAGCATGCCAACCCCCTGACTATGACAAATGTAAATGTTTTCTTTAGTCTGTGACTCCCTTGTGATTTGCTAGTTTGGAGTTTGCAGCTTAGTTTGCTTCTTCATAAATTAAATAAGAGGTTGGCTTCTCTTCATGGAAACATAGTCCACTAGATATTCTGAAGCTCCTCCCAATGCGGAACTTTTTCAAAATGCAGACTTCACAAGGGTAAGGATGGCCCAAGGGCCAAACATAAGAAGAGAGTAGGAACTCACTACCTTTTTGGTGTCATTGCAGAAGGGTAAGTGGGAAGAGCCTACGTTAGCCACCTGCTGCCAAGGGGCTTGGGTTTCAACAGTCCCGGGAAATAAGGTGTGGCCATGACAGAGCTGGCCCCACTGGCTGGCAATACACTCAGGGGGAGGGCGTGTGAACATCAGTCATGGGCATGAGGCAGGAAGGCTGTCTTCTCCTGGGCTCAAGGTGGGGAAACTCTTCCCTTAAATATCATGACCAGACTTCTCTCAGGAAGGTTTTGAATTTGATGTTACTGTATGGACGCATGTCATTGAACGACAGGGAGACATTTGGAGACAATCAGGTCACGGGGTGAGGTTATTCTCC